AATGGGATATGATATTGATGTTTGAGATTATTTTTCTCTGCCCAAAGGCCTTGATTACAGAACTAAGAGTTTAAGGTTTGGTTGGTTAGCATGGTGCAGTTAGCCCCTCATTTTTTATTTTTTTTATTTTTCATTCGAATATCACACCTGAATGAATCTTCACAGAAAAACAACAAAGGCTCATTGAAAACATTTCCCTCTACCTAAATTTTTGGGAGAAAAAAAATCCAAAAACCTATACATAAAATTCACTGCAGTTTCCAGTTTGAAATCAACATTAGAAGTGGTAAAACACAAACTACAAGTACAAGTAGCAAAATACTAATTGTTATACCGTTTCACACAAATTATGATTACGGGGCAGATTATCGATTAATAAACACTTATTGTGTGCGGTTTCTTGCACAATGCTATGTTATGACCTCAAAATACTTTTTACCATAGTGCATGGTTTGTAATCAAATTCATTTTGATGTTTGTATCACATAACCAGCTCCATATGTTTGCGGTAGTAAACTTGCTTAGAAGCGCACCCGGTACAGCATTAGACTTGTGATGTGGAGCACTCAGGTGCGAGTCCTGTGAAACACGAGTCACAATAAAATAGCTTAGATACTAGTAGAAGCCAGCTAAAAGGGCTTGGGTGTTTCGGAAAATATATATTGATCTCACGTTTGCTTTGTTAACACTATCGGTTAGGTTCAGGTTAGAGTTTAGTATAGGTGCTACGCAATAGAGCATTAACATTTTATGACATTTACCATTGTGTGATCTCATAGACATGTTGTGTGTGTGTGTCTTTCTTTATAGTGTTGTTGAGTTTGATCTCGGCCGGGGCTCAGACTGAGATGAAGCGGGTTGTTGGGGACAACGCCACATTGCCTTGTCATCACCAGTTCTGGCAGTCGAATGGACAAACACTGGACATAGAATGGCTCCTGCAGAAACCCAACGTCAAACAGCGTGTGGTAAGAGATATGTTGCTCTTTATGCCTTTTCAGAATTGGTCTTGCCTTCTCTCATTGTCTCTTGTTTATTTTATTTCTGTTTCACTTAGATTTCTCTTGTTGTGAGTTTTGTTTTCGCATTATACCTCTCATCATCTTCTATTTTGTCTGTCCTCCTGGTCTCCTTCCAATCACTATGTGCTTGTGAGGTGATTTTTTTTTGGAAATAACAACGTTTTAGTCCCAACATCCTGCTGAAAATGTCCAGCTGAAGTACTTGCTATGTAGTTTGACCAGAGTAATATTATGTTGCACAAATGGTCCAAAGACTGGGTACACACTATTTTGATAGTCCACTTTCTACTAACTACGAGTAACTTTGCAACTACAGTACATGTCAGCTACCAGTCATTAGAGTATTAGTTATTGTCTGCTTAATATCTACTAACACTTTATTTTGATGGTCCCCAACAGACATGCTTCTGACTATAAGTAACTTTGCAAGCACATGTCAACTTATTCTACTAACTCTAACCCTAACCTAGCAGTCTACTAATACCCTAATGAGTGTTAGTTAACATGCAGTTGTAAATTAATGAGAGTAAGCTGTAACCTGTGAGCTGTGATGTTAATGTATTTTTCCTTTATTTGCATGATTACAAAACAAATGGTCATATTATTATTATTATTATTAGGACTCAAGTACTGAAAGTGGTAAATAAGCACATAGATACTTGCTACAAACTGCATATACTGTATCATACATACATACCTACATACATACAAATAGGTCTAAGTATATATAAGAAAGTCTGGCTATGTGTAGTTCTCATTGAGCCAATCAAATATTACATTGACATTTGTTTGCTCTGCTTAATAGGAAGTCAGCTATTTTGGATTTTGTGTAAATACATTAACTTTTAAATACTCCTCTTAGAGGATTCATGTGATCGTCAGCAAACTCTTTCTTTCTATCTTTCTTTCTTTCTTTCTATCAAGTAATACTTTTTTAAATGTTAAGTTGTCCCAAGGTTGTGTGTTATTCCTGTTACCAACATATATATATCTTTTTCAAGAAACTATTCCAAATAATAATAATAATACATCGAAACGTGATCATAATCCTTTAATAGAAAAAAGTGAACTCTTCTGAGACAAGTGAATTAATCTTTTTTATTGTGTTTGTCAGTAGAGGACAAGCATAAAATCTCAACCTTGTAAGCTACCATGTATCAATCTCTCAGAACACCCTGGCAACCACCCAAAACACCCTAGCAACTGCCTAGTTTTGACTGTCTCTCAATCTCTATCAGTGATACAGAGTTGCTAGATAGTTACTGGGTGTTCTGGGTGGTTGTTAACCAGGGTGTTCTGGGTGGTTGCTAGGCAGTTGCCTTGTGGTGTTGATAGGTGGTTGTTAGGGTGTTGTGGGTGGTTGCTAGTTGGTTGCTAGGAATTTTTCTAGGCCATTGCTAGGTGGTTGTTAGGGTGTTCTGGGTGGTTTCTAGGCAGTTGACACTGTTGTGGGTATTTTCTCTGGTGTTGCTAGGTGGTTGTTAGGTTGTTCTGGGTGGTTGCTAGGCAGTTGCTCGGGTGTTCTGGACGGTTGCTAGGTGGTTGCTAGTCTTAGCTCATTTAAGCTGGTCTCCCAGTTTACTAATCTAAAAAGTCCCCAAAAACCCTTTAAACTGGCTAATAGACAAGACTGAGATACTTTTTTTTTTCTTCTTCCCAGCAATGCACACTGGTCTTTGACTTTGTGTGTTCATGTAGTACTGTGTAGCATGCAGGTCACATAGCCGACTTCCATACGACATCCATGCAGCTGCCATTGTGATGAATGGAAATGCTAATGGATAACTCTCTCCAGCTATATTGCACCTCATTGGCTATTGCTAACATTACAGAACCTCTTTCTTTGAAGTGAAGCCATAACTCGTGACTCAGATGTTACTCATGTTTGAGAAGATTATGCTAGAGAAGATTTTTCTGCTGCCAATTGTAATCTAAATAAATAAATATGACAAAGAGCATCATGTTATGACTGTCAGTGATGCAGAATGCATACAATAAGAATCACAGATGTTTTACCAGAAATGCAGATTTCTGCCGTGCAGCAGAAATTCAGTTGTGCAGCAGAGTTTTCTCATGTCTGTCGTGCTGTAGTTTGTGTATGTATGTGTGTGTGTGTGTGTGTGTGTGTGTGTGAGAGAGATGAGCAGCAATCGCAGACGGCTCTGGCAGGTGGACCCAATCGCAGGTCTGCTGATGTGTAGTGGCATCAGTGTTTAGTCCTTTACCCCAGGCATTCAGGAGGCTGTCACCGTCAAACTGTGTGTGAATGTGTGTGTTGGCAGCTGTGTTTGTGTGCGACAGCCATTTAGCATCTTTTCCACGGCAGTCACAGGTACAGGTAGAGGTTCTTGTATTAGAAACCCTTTTGTCTTTTGCGCGGAGTAGTACAGTTGTCGCAAAGTACCCATCAGATGAAAAATAAGGGAACAACTAGATGTGAAAATTTTCTGAGGAAAAGCGCTTTCCAATTCAAAGTTCCATGCTACAATGCTAGACTGCTGTGAGCAGTTTCCAGGGCATTAACATAGAAATATATACATAGATTCCTCATTACCGGCTGTTTCTATGAGCCGCTATGCCATATTTCAATGGTTTAAGCAGGTCAGTGAACAGATCAAGCAGATCAAGCTGACTGCAACCGCAGTTAGTAACTGTAGTAACTGATTACATGTAATCTGGATTATGTAATCAGATTCCAAAAATTAAGTACTTATAATTAGATTATATTACATTTTAAAATGCTCATAATCAGAATACAGTTATTTTTGTATAGATTACATTATTACATATTATTCACACAATGGCAGTCAATTATTAATAACTTGATTTGCCCTAGTTCTTCTTTTTTACTCTCTCTTAAATTTTCCTTTCTAAAATTCTACTGCTCTTATACAGCTATTCATCAACTCACAAACCCTGTAGTTCATTCAGGAACCCTAGTCTGGGAAACCCTAGTATACTGTAATGTTTAATACACTTCAGGATATTGATAAAAAAAAAGAATGGAATATATTTTAGGTCAAATGTAATCTAAAAGTAATCAAAAAGTAGTCTTCTGGAATTTAAATCTTGGCAGCTTTTACACCTGAGGCTGTGCAATTTTGTGACATCTCACTGAATTTTACTGAGAGTGAAGAACCTTTGTCTGCTCCAAGATGGCAGACACGTCCACATGTCTGCAGCAGTCAAATGTGGCATCTACCTATTTACAGTATATCTATTTATATAAGTTAATATTAGTTTCTGACGTGTTTTTAGCATGTTGCTATGTCGCAATTTGTGTATTCAGGGTGGGGTTGGATATTTTCTAATGCACTTCTGTGTTTTAGCATGTTGCTATGTGGATGCTAGTGTTGCTAGGTCATCGCTAGGGTGTTTTAAGTGCGTGTGAAGGAGTTGCTATACATTTCCGAGGTGTTTTAAGTGTTCAGCATGATGTTGTGGGTGGTTTGTAGGTGGTTGCTTGTTGGCCCAAGTCAAAATCCACCCCAGGTTTCTATGATATTCAGGTTTCTAGATTTTTTTTTTATCCATTAAGCCACAAACCATAAGTCTGATAAACTAATAGTGCCCCTTTCCTCCAAAAGTCACGTGATTTAAATTATTATTCATGTACCTCTAGCACAAATGCTGGGAGACAAGTTACATGCCAGAGTTTAATAATTAAGGCTAGGGGTCTAGTATGATGGACCTAAAACAGAGTAGATATATTTAATTTGACATGGATGAAAACACGGTTGTGATGGATAGAAGTACTACACAACATGTGCTTCTGAATGACATTTTCTTTTCATAAAAATTTTTTTTGGAGTTTTTCCACTGGAACTTTGTGGAGGGATCAGTGTTTCATCCTCGAGTAATGCATGTATTTGAATCCCGCTCAGGCTATTTTCTTTGGCATCAACTGAAATATGGTGTCTGATTCTACTGATTCCTTTCATCTATATTTATACAAAAGTTCTGTCTCTCTCATTTCAGATTATTACATTCTTCAACAACGAGGTCTACACTAACGACAACCATGCCAGTCGTCTGTCCTTTGCTGGCGACTACCTGAAAGGAGACGCCTCTCTCCTGATTAGCGATCTGCAGCTGACTGACTCTGGAGAATACCATTGTAAGGTCAAGACCGGCGGCAAATACCACTGGAGCCAAGTCAACCTCATTGTGCTGGGTAAGGCTCATCTTCCTGGAATCAGCCCCCAATTGTTTCCTCCATCAGTAAACCTCGCTGTGATTCGATTTGATCATCATTCAGATTACAAAATTTGGCCATTATTGACATAATCTAGAAATAGGATTGGTTGCGTTCACTGGCCAGACACTCTCAACTCTGGTGGCTAATGATGTTTGCTTCTCTTTGGATGGTAAATGGAGAGGATGTTAATTTGAAATGGTGGGATGAGGGAACATTGATTGAGCTCTATCTCTTAAAAACAGAAGAGACAGAATTATGCGATTTCTCTTCTTCTAGCAAAACAGTTTAGTGTCAGCTCAAATGCGGTTCAGATGAGCTTCTTAAGATTTGATATTTTGCTATGTCTGGTTTCCATTATTAGACCGCAGGGTTTCCAAGCCGTCTTTCAATTGCAGTACCTCTGACACCACAGCTCTCAGTAAAGACAAGAACTGGAAAGAAACATGTTGCTTTTTATTTAGCCTCATCTCTATCATATGCTCTTGTTGCATAGTCCCTATTTTCAAGGACTTGCAGCTTATGCCGAGCAGTTTGAAGTTGTATATCACGTCTTAATTTTATTAAGTCATTTTATTAACAGATTAGTACGCTAGCCACGGAGGGACAGGATATTGGCGAAAAGTTGAAAGAAAGAGAAAGAGAGAGAGAGAAATGGGAGAATGGATTGATGTAAATCCGGCCTCCACCCTAGAGTTTCTCTCATTTATTAACATTTCACAGAAGATTAGCTCAATACTGCCTTCCCATAATCCCCCTTCTCCACCCCCTGTCTACTCTTCTTTCTCTTCCCTCTACGTCACTCTATAAACACATTACAGAGAGCTAGTGTTCACATTATGATGTTATTTTCAGCCTGTATTTTGCCAGTTTCTCGAAATTTGCAGTTGAAAGTGGACAGGAAATGATCATGGGGGCCGGTTGTTCTTAAGTTCTTACTTAAATTAGAAACACCAGAGGCTTAGTAACTACTAGAGTTGGGGGACTTGGACTTGGACTGCAATTATGAATGAACTCGGACTCGGACACACTCAGATGGACTTGTATTCAAACTTGACAGGGACTCAGACATTTTGGACTCAGAGTACAGACAAATCCACGTCATGTGTAACAACATAACATTAACATAACAAGACATTAATAAACGTCTCACATTCAAACTCAATTGGTTTATGGCTTGGACTCGGACTCGGACTCGACAATGTGTACTTGGACCCAACACTAGTAAATGGTTACACCATTAGTTCTTAAGGCAGAATGTAGCTAGTAGGTTGTAAGTAATGCTTAATCGCAGCCTTGAAATTCATGGAGTTGTGAGTGAATTTCAGTTTTTCTGAGTGTAAAACTAAGTTTCCATTGAAATATGATACTTAATTGGGAAATAATGTTATATGTATATGTCTATAAGGAGTAATAAATATTATGGTGCAACCAGCCCCAGTAAATTACACTAGTCACACATGCATTAATCACTAGGCTATGGGTCCAACACTATGGAGATTTTTTATAAATTGCCTGCAACAATGTACACTCTAAGCTCTGCTTGTTTCTTTAGATTTCTTGAATCAGAGATAAATGAATGGGCATCATTTAAATTGGAGTCCGTCCACATGTCCACTGATTTTTAATATGGAGCTGAAGCTGTGAAAAATCTTGTTCGCTGATTATTTTATGAAAATGAGGACCGCATGCTACACGAGTGTAATTATTTCAGGCACCAAAAGTAATAATAATGACTGTTTCCAGGCATACAGTTCAATAATATTTACATGTTTAAAATAATCTCTTTGTAGAAAATGCCACTGTACTTATATGGAGTGTTTTTGTTCAGGTGACTAAAGCATCGGCCCATTATAAATTGCTCTGCTAGAACAAAAATTTTAGCATGTATTGACTATGAAACCTCCACATTTTTTATTGTTGCGTATATGGTCCATGCTGGTCAAAATATTTGTTTGGCTGTGGAGCAAAGACAAATATACACTAGCAGTAACACATAACTTCTGGGGTGTTTGTGTGTTTATAGACAGGGTCAGTAGGGCCAAAAGGGGCCACAGAGGTCTCTACAGGCTGTCTCTTAACTGCCATTCAGGCTCCAAATAAATCCCTCTGGACAGGCCCGTCTAACTGACCCCAGAACAGTTTAGAGCAGTGCTGCGGTAAGCAGGATGCCAGTGGGACTGCTCTGAGGTCACTTGGTAACTGTTGTGAGGCAGTGAGATCTTTGCTTTGGATTCTGTGTTGATTCAGAAGTGCTGTGTAATGTCAGAGGGGAGTTCAAAACAGTCAGTGCACAGGACAAGAAATCCTGACCCCTGCCTCCCCAAATTCAGATTGATTGCCTCTTTGATATTGATTGCTCTCCACAAACCGCCAGGGTGCTGTGTTTGCAAGTTTTAGCTTCATCTGAAATGTTGAAATACTGCTTCAAAGTGTCATATTATGTATAGTTTGTGTTCAATAGGAAGTTTCGTTTTTACATTTTTCATTTTTTAAATGTATCATTTTTAAATTTCGCATTTCATTTATAACAATGACACTCTTTATTTCATGTCTCATGCTAAAAATTCACCATCCCTGATGCAAAAGCACAGCCATTTTTCTGGATGCCTGTCATTGAAACACTAGGTGGTGTATCCTAGCCATCAGAAATCTGGACCTGTAACTAAATGGTAGTAGGTTTAAACACCACAAGTGTTGATCCTTGAAGTGTCGCTGTTATGTCAATGAAAACAGCATGTAAGCACCTGTGGACTCTTTCTAAAGTAAGCTACTTTGGATATCAATATTAAATGACTAAACTTAACGTTAACACACATTCTTGTTTCCTTGTTCACAGTGAAGCCGTCTAAACCCCGCTGCTGGATGGAAGGCCGGCTTCTGGAGGGTAGTGATGTGAAACTGAGCTGTAAGTCTTCAGACGGATCCGACCCTATTCACTACAAGTGGGAGAGAGTTCTGGATAAGGGCAAGAGTGTGGGAAAACTACCTCCCTTCGCACTCATCGGTGAGTCAAACACCCCGAAGCCTCGCAAACAAGACTAGAGCCTATCAGACCTTATTCTGGAAAGAGAAGGGTTTGTGCAGTCACTTGCTGCTGACTGTCTCAAATAATAGTCTTGAAAGATCTGATGCCATGAACGTCACACACTTTAGCAAATGCATCGAGTAGTTTTTGCACAGAAGTGCTGATTGTTGCAGATTAAACCTGTGCACGCTGAATCACAGATGTTGTGTGGCGAGCAGACAATGAGATTAGACAATTGATATTAGCCTCTATGCATTAGGGTTGGGCGCTATTATATCTGTACATGCGGTGCAAATGAAAACACAAGCATCATCTACTCAGTCAACTCAAATCAACTGATTTGCGGTCACACATGCCTTCAAACATACTATATTATAGATTCAGTTCTGTTCAAAGGTTTTTTTTTAATAAACGCATTCGAAAGACTGCATTTATTTGTAATATTGTGTTTTCTATTTGAATATATCTTAAAATATCATTTATTCCTGTGATGCAGTGCTGAATGTTCAGCATCATTACTCCAGTCTCCAGTGTCACATGATCCTTCAGAAATCATTCTAATATGCTGATTTGGTGTTCAAGAAACAATTCTGATTATTATAAATGTTAAAAATGGTTGTGATATTCAGCATTTTGTGGAAACAAAACATTTAGTATATTATGTTATATTATATTATATATTATTATATTAAAATATAGTATAGTATATTATATTGTATTATTATACACAAAAGGTTTACATTCCTTAGATATGATGTTTTCTGAGAATGTAGTAAATAATTGTCATAAGGATTATTTTAGTATGATTGAGACACTATTATAGTTTTTAATTTTACTTTATTGTTTAATATTCATTTAATGTTAGTTGTAGTATTTTATATATATATATATATATATATATATATATATATATATATTTATTTATACATTTAGTTTTTAGTCATTTTGTTGTGTGTTTTCTTTTCAGTTTAATTTTAATTTAGTAGATCAAGTTAAATTGATTGAAACTGAGAAATTCTGCATTGGCAACCAGGTGCTGATTTTTATTTTTTTTTTGCGAATTGCTCATTTTATTTTAATTCAGTTAAAGGATTTATTTCAGTTTAGGATTCTTTGATGAATAGATCATTTTTTACAGTCACATTTGGTCAAGCTAATGCATCCTTGCTTAATAAAATCATTCATTTCTTTCTTCAACTTTTGAACGGTAGTTTTCAAGCTAAACTATATTATAAAATAAGCTTTTACTGTGATAAACAATGATATTAGAATTACAGATTTCAGTTACACCTCGCCCACTTCTAGAATGCATCATATGGACCTTGGGTAGGCTAAAAATAAATGACTAAACAGTGTCTCGAATACATAATAATATACAGCAATAGAAGATGTTCAATGGCCTTTGGCTGTTAATACATTAGAATTCAATCTCATTCAGTTCTGCTTGGGAAACCGGAACAACAAAAGTGCAAGAACTACACAAATTCGAGTGTAATATGGCTTTGCAGATGGGACAGAGTAATGCAGTGATTCAGAGCGATTTCTCCTGCTGACACCAGATCTTCAGAGCACCGTATTGTTTTACAATCTATTTAGTCATATGCAGTCAATGCTGCAGGAGAGACGGACCGTACCCTCACCCAAACTCAACAATTAACCAGCCTCATCAATGACCACCTGCTCACTCTAATCAGCTTTCTTTGGCCAATAAACACACCTCCGCCCCAGAATTCACAGCAGACAGTGGATGAGAGAGAAGGATGATGGGACAGGGATGCAGGGATGAAAGAGGAGGCATTGGATCCTGGATGAGTAAATGATCCCGGCGACTCGAATCGCTCCGGCTGACAAACGATCCTCGGCTGAAGACGCACTGAGGTTCTCAGTTCTCAGGACACGAGCGCTTTCTCACCGGCTACAGGAAAACATTTAGTGTTCATCTCATCCGCTGGAATTCAAAACCTTGACGCGCACAAACATTAATTAATTCACTTCGCTGGGCTCGCTCTCACTTTGCTCCCTGATTAAAACACTCTGTTTGATTGAAGCCTGTAAAGTAGTGCAGTAAAGGAAGTAGTAAAAAACGGTTAACACTGCTAACGCTGTTTTGTAGGTCCAGGGTGAGTCAGAACTGGAGAGTTACTAATTTCATAACCCTGCTTCATCAGCATTGTGTCCTTGAGCAAATGGACATAACACAATACACACGAAAACTAACAAAGAAGGAAAAACGCTTCAAAATATGACAAAACACACCAAGAGCTAATTCTTCTTAGGGGACCGGTGGTGATTGTAACCCTTTAAAGTCGTGATGTAACGGAAGCAGCATTAGATTGTTTCTTCTGTATCGTGTCGAAGATAATATACTGAATAGTGCTTACATAGAAATGTTATGTTATGTTATGTTATGTTATGTTATGTTGTGTTGTGTTGTGTTGTGTTGTGTTGTGTTGTGTTGTGTTGTGTTGTGTTGTGTTGTGTTGTGTTATGTTATGTTATGTTGTGTTATGTGTTGTGGTATATGTTATGTTATGTTATGTTATGTTATGTGTTATGGTATATGTTATGATATGTTATGTTATGTTATGTTATGTTATGTTATGTTATGTTATGTTATGTTATGTTATGTTATGGTATATGTTGTTATGTGTTATGTTATGTTATGGTATATGTTATGTTATGTTATGTGTTATGGTATATGTTGTTATGTGTTATGTTATGTTATGTTATGTGTTGTGTTGTGTTGTGTTGTGTTGTGTTGTGTTGTGTTGTGTTGTGTTATGTTATGTGTTATGGTATATGTTATGTTATGTTATGTTATGTTATATGTTATGGTATATGTTATGTTATGTTATGTTATGTTATATGTTATGTGTTATGGTATATGTTATGGTATATGTTATGTTATGTTATGTTATGTTATGTTATGTTATGTGTTATGGTATATGTTGTTATGTGTTATGTTATGTTGTTATGTTATGTGTTGTGTTGTGTTGTGTTGTGTTGTGTTGTGTTGTGTTGTGTTATGTTATGTGTTATGGTATATGTTATGTTATGTTATGTTATGTTATGTTATGTTATGTTATGTTATGTTATGTTATGTTATGGTATGGTATGTGTTATGGTATATGTTGTTATGTGTTATGTTATGTTATGTTATGTTATGTTATGTTATGTTATGTTATGTTATGTTATGTTATGTTATGTTATGTTATATGTTATGGTATATGTTATGTTATGTTATGTTATGTTATGTTATGTTATGTTATGGTATATGTTATGTGTTATGGTATATGTTATGTTATGTTATGTTATGTTACGTGTTATGTTATATGTTGTGTTTGTTATGTTATGTTATGTTATATATAATAGTATATTATTATTATTATTATACACAAAAAGTTTCACGAAGGTTCAATTCTCAGAGAAAAGACATTGTTTGTTAATGTGGTAAATAAGTGTCGTCAGTGATAGTATGATAATATTATAGTTTCTGTTAATATCATTAGTATGGCTTTTTTAATTAATCTGAATTAGTTTGCATCTTTTTTTCTGTTTTCATTTTTCATTCAATTTTTGCAATTTTTATACATTTTGTTTTTGTAATTTTGTTTTGTTTTGTCTTTTTTTCAGTTAAAGTTTATTTAATTTCAAGTAATTGAAGTTGTTTTATGGTTTTAGTTAATGTTATCACTCATGATATGAACAATAATAATTGTCAAAACATCTACCTAATTACCTAATAGACTGTAGTTGTACCCCAGCTTGTGTGTGTACAGTTATATAAGTATTATTTCCTGTTTTCAGATCTGAAGAACCCAGAGATCGTGACCTTGAGGAACTTGACGCAGGACAGCTCCGGGGTCTACAAGTGCACCGCCAGCAATGATGTAGGAGAGGAGAACTGTATCATCGAGGTCACAATGCAATGTGAGTTCTGCTCTGAGGTCAGCCTGTGCCCTGGGCCTCAGACGCCAGTAATTAGTGTGGATGTTATGATACTCGGATCAGCCGGTGGAGGCGCTTTTAGCTTGGAGCCACAGCCTCAGTGTGATGGATGGAGGCTGTTTCCACACCGCAGAGAGCTTGCTTGTATTATGGGTATTATGGGTATGACACCATTGTTTTGTGGCAAGCAGCTTTTTATATTTTCATTTATATAAAGATAAAATGTATCTTTAAAAAAAATTTAAAAATTAATATATATTATATCTAGTTTATATTCCACCACAAAATAAAAAAATTTAAAAAGGTCATTGCGACTTTTCATCTCACAATTCAGACTTTTTTTTTCTTGCAGTTTGTTTAAATCTCAATTTTTTTGTTTTTATATCTTGCAATTTTAAGTTTATTTCTTGCAAAAAAAAAAAAGTCAGAAATGTGAGATTAAAAAGTTGCAGTTACCTTTTTATCCCATGGCGGAAACAAACTTCCATAATTTTGCTGATTTGTTGTCTTGGAGAAGAAAAAAAAAACATGCTCTCTCTCTCTCTCTCACACACACACACACACACACCCCTCACTCAAAACTTTCTGCATTTTTACATAAAATAAAAACTTAATTCTATATGATTTATAAATGGTTTTCCTCATGTGAACCAAAAAAAAAGTCAAAAATGACTTGTCCCTTGTGGGGACATTTGGTCCCCATAATGTTGGGAATACCAGGTACCAGACTTTTTTTTTCTTGCAGTTTGTTTAAATCTCAATTTTTTTGTTTTTATATCTTGCAATTTTAAGTTTATTTCTTGCAAAAAAAAAAAAGTCAGAAATGTGAGATTAAAAAGTTGCAGTTACCTTTTTATCCCATGGCGGAAACAAACTTCCATAATTTTGCTGATTTGTTGTCTTGGAGAAGAAAAAAAAAACATGCTCTCTCTCTCTCTCTCACACACACACACACACACACCCCTCACTCAAAACTTTCTGCATTTTTACATAAAATAAAAACTTAATTCTATATGATTTATAAATGGTTTTCCTCATGTGAACCAAAAAAAAAGTCAAAAATGACTTGTCCCTTGTGGGGACATTTGGTCCCCATAATGTTGGGAATACCAGGTACACACACACACACACACACACACACACACACACACACTTTCACTAAGCATTGGGAACTATAGAAAGCCAGAGTGTGGCTATTTGTCATCAGTCTTGCTCAAACAGCCATCATTCAGTGTTTATGTGTAATGGGTTCAGAAGAGGCAGAAGAATTTAATGTCCTGCATTTAGGCCTTGTTCTAGTCTTTCTCATCACAGAAAATTTTAATAATTTATGTGAAAGAGGCATTTCGCAGTTGTGGCTGGCAAAGTTGATATCGCAAGATATCTCATGAGAACACTAATAATGTGTAACTACCATATGGGCTTCCCTGATAATATAATTTATAAACAATGAGCAAATCAAAAGCTCTTTGTCAAACAAAAATAAATTTGTTTTTAAAGATGCACTCAGTAAATTTTATTGATGTTGTGCTGGCCGGTATGGCAGTGAATTTATACTGACTTAAACTGACACCCAGCGGCATGAATTTAGAAGCTGAAGTTGTCAGGTACTGTAGAAATGTACAATTAGCACATAATCTGGCATGGTTCATTTATTACTCAAGCAAAATAACTTATGAGGCGATCTGCTCTATGTGAAAAAAAAAATGGTAACGCTTTCTAATAAGGTCCCAAAAGTTAATGCATTAACATTACAACAATAAGCAATTAATTTGTTACAGTATATCTTTGTTAATGTTAACAAATGGAAGTGTTACCAAAAATGCTTTTTTTTAGACTTTTAATATGACTGGGGTTTTCATCTTATATGAGTGGAAATAATTGTATTTGTTCTTTATTTTCAGATACATATTTTGAGAGCCAAGTTGGTGTATAAATGATTCATGTCCATGTGTATTGGTGTAAAGCAAACAGTTAATTAATAAATATGGTTCAAATTAAACATGGCATGAAGACATTTGGTTATAGATTAAATTAAATTTTTATAATAAATTGATTGCTTACAGAAGCTTGTTTTATATTGTGACAAATCATTTTACCATTTTATTTTTTTATTATTTTAGTTCATTTTCCATAAATGTTTTCCTTTTTTTTTTGTTGATGATAATGTACGATTCCTATAATATTTTTTCATGATTGTTTTTTGTACAGAACAGTATGGAAGCTTGCTTCCACCACTAAATAAAAATCTGACTTTTTTCTCAGAATTGTGTAATATAAACTCTAAATTGTAAGTTATAAAGTAAATATTGTGTGTCATAATCTCGTAATTGTGTCTTATAAAGTCAGAATGTTGAGATAAACTCTCAGTTCTGACTGTTTTCTCAGAATTGTGAGTTTATATCTTGCAATTCTGGCTTTATTTCTCACAACTGCACGTTTATATCTCTAAAAAAAATCTGAATTGTGAGATAAAAAGTCACATGTATTATTCATATTTTATTATTTTTAAATTTTTTATTATTATTTTTTCTTTATTATTATTCAGTGGTGGAAAGAGCCATCCATAGAATACAAAATATGAGCATTTTCACTTGTGTTCTCAGGTCTTTGCACCCTACTGTAAATCACTGTATAATTGTATTTTTTGTATTTAACTTGTCATCATATAAAGATGTGATGTGATGTCCTGCTGTGTGCAGATGTGCGGGGCATGGGTGTGGTGGCTGGTGCTGTGGTTGGCGTTTCATTCGGCGTTCTGCTCCTCATTCTCATCATCTGGCTGGTCTTCCGCAAAAAAGAAAAGAAGAAATATGATGAGGAGGAGACGCCTAATGAGATCAGGTGAGATCTCAGTATTGATTGTGTGTTTATACTGTAGTTCCACTTTAACTCTTAATATTCCTGCAGCAGAAAAACTGTGACTGTGTTTTTGAGTGTGTTCAGGACAGCTCACTGTGACACACTCTTCATATTGTCTGCAGGACAATCTTCATAATACATCAGACAGCTGTTTTTTAGGGCTGTAGTGACAGAACTTTACTGTTTGTGTTCACATCAATAATGCAGCCACAAACCATGACTTTACAGTATCTCTGAATTATGCACACACAGACAAATGGTGTTTCTGTGCACAGTCACCGTAGGATAATACAGGAGTAAATTTGTTACAAGATAGCTACCTGCAGGATACTAAATGTGTCTAGTTGATACCATTACAACTAAAATTTCATATATTTTCATTATAATGAAAACTATTAGGCTGTAGTTGAACTATCTCCTTTATTTAAAAATAAAAAGATATAAAAAAAATATATAAATAGAGCAAACAGTGCTTAAATATTTTCTGTCTATTAGCATCAGATATTTAAGTAAACATTCAAAAAATAAAAGGAAAATTCTAGAATATTTCAATGTAAACAAAACTACTGATACTATATAAAGACTGCCATTTATTTATCAATTAATTAATTGATTCATTCATTCATTATTAATGTATTGTTTGTTTTGTTTTGTTTGGATGGTTGGGTTTTTTGTTTGTTTATAATTATTTTGTTATTTTAATGATTATTTTATTATTTTTAAATATTTTATATTTATATTCATAATAATTATTTTAAATGAATTTAAATGGCAACACACTTAAATGCAGTGGCTGCTCCAGGTCCAGACTATTGATTGATTGATTGATTGATTGCCTTTCTATCAATATACCGGTATTTTTGACATCTCTAACCAATGTCTATAATTCTGTTACTTTTGTAGAGAGGATGCAGAAGCTCCTAAAGCCAAGCTGGTGAAGCCCAACTCCCTCTCCTCGTCTCGCTCTGGCAGCTCCCGCTCCGGTGCTTCCTCCACACAGTCCATGGTGCACAACAGCACAACCCGAACCCAACGTCCACGGCCACCCGCTGTCGCCACCCTCAAGGAGAACGGACAGCCCCACGGGTTCCCCCAGTCTCCCCCGGCCTACACGCAGGTCGTGCCTAAAACCCCAGAACCCCCTGCCACCCCAAAATTCAAACCCCCCAATCCTCAAGTGGGCATGGCCATCCCGGCGAGCATCATGGTCCCTGCTCAAAGCAAGGCCTTTCAGACAGTGTAGGGAGTAAAGGAAGCAAGGCCTGGTGCGGGTCTCCGTACAAGACACCCACAGTGACTCTTCCAAAAGTACGATTGGAAAAATAAAATACACACACAAACACAAAAATAAAAATAAAAACTGTAAAATAAAAGCATAATTAAAAAATAAAATCAATCATATAAAATCTAAAAAGTTGAATGCATATTTACAAGGGAAAATACACAGTGCTTGCCCCCCTTCTGAAGTATTAAAAGAAAACAAGGGAGGAACTGAAGAACGAGAATTTTTTATTCTCATTCTTTGGTTCGCTCTCCTTCTTTTGATCTCATGGCGCAGTCTGACCCTTTTTTTTAACATTATTTGTTTTTCCCTCTCTTTTTGAGCCCTTGAAGGCTTTGTGGACGGTGGGGTGGAAAGATTTCCCCAAGTACAGTTTATTTATTTATTGCATCAGAGAGGCTAAAGGTCCAAGGGCAGGCTGGGTTTATGAAACATGATGGCAAGAGGAAGGACCAGTCGACTCTGAAGAGAAATGAAGGATATTATCCAAGAACTTTGTTGTTTCTGTTGAAGGCGATGGGGCGGCTCTGGGAATATGAACTGTCCATCTCATTCCCATTCATTTTTCCCAGAATGCAATGCAAACATTGGCCGTGGCTCAGACATCAAAATCGAAGGCAATCTTATTAATACCTTAACAACAATTTCCACAAAGAAGAAGTGAAGTGATTGGAAAATATGGTCCCTGATGGACATTTCGGCACATGGATGACGACGTGTCATTGATGCAGTGGTACAGAGAGACTAACGGTTCAGTTATCGTGAAACACACTGTTTTGCTACCTTAGCACGCTATATTTTACAAAAAAAACACCTGTTTAACTGTATTTCAATTATGCCATTGTCATTGGTTTTTTTGTATTTTTTGCGCAAACCCACGTTTTCTATTACTGCCCACAGATGCAGACGATAAAATGTAGTAAAAGAGACTTCATCGATGTTTTCTAGCAGCGGTAATTCATCACATGATGATTAAATGATATAAGAAGAGCATTTTAACTTTTACATAGTCCATCTTAGACATTCTACTAACTATAAGTAACTTTACAACTACATGTCAACTAGCAGTCATTAGAATACTAGCTACTGTCTGCTTAATATCTGCTAAGATTTTATTGTGATGGTCCTCCAAACATCATTCAACTGACTATAAGTATATTTTCAAGTACGTCAACTTATTTTACTAATCCTAACCCTAACCTTACAGTCTACTAATACTCTAATGAGAGTTAGTTGCCATGTAGTTGCCATGTTACTTAGTATAACTTCTGAAGTTGACTATCAAAATAAAGTGTAACGTTACATCCCGATGCGTCATGCAGTCAAGAGCACTTTAATCTCCATTTCAGGTGCTTAGCATTGCTGTATGTACATTCCCAGTAAAGTACGCCAGATCGCAGTAGTCTGCTGTTTCCCTCACAACCTAGTGCTCAGAACCGACCTGCATAATTGTGGCATGCAAAATGCAGCCATTACCTAATTTGCACAATTCCATTCGTGAATTGGGTGTTAAAAAACATGACATGAGGAAATAAACAGTGCCGTTAGCGGGTGAAATTGATCCTTAGTGAATTCCCCCTGTGTGTCAACTGCTCTCTACACACTGATAGGAATTTTTGCAGTTAAATCTATGCATAAACATGGAGCGTACTGTACGTCCTTGACAGAAAGTCTGCGGTCTGGTTGCGGATGTCATCCTCACCGTTTCAGTTTGTATTACATACAGAGCGTGGTATATTTGTTACAGCTGTAGTTCCAGTGATACTGAAACCAAAACCTGTCACGAATACTATGAATGTGTATAAGTCAAAGATAGTTTTGTTTTTTATTTATTTTTTCCTTCTTTTCTAGAATACCCAGTGGTACTACATAATAGCATATGAGGCACAAGTAACGTTCGACTATAATCTCACAGTACTGTTGGACAAGTAATTGAAAGGGAACGCCATAACAGGGACTTATGAACAGAGCGTGTGTCCGCATTTGCGGTACTCTCCGTCTAGTTAGTAATTGCACCACGGTACCGTCCCAGGATTCTCCTAGGACCCTCTAACAGCAGGCTGTCTCAAGATGGCTGGCTTTTTGTGCCAACCGCCCCGCGGCTTCCTCCACCAAGTGCTGTCAAAAAAACCCTCTCCATTAGCGGTGTCTCGAAGCCCCTGGGAAGACCTTGCTTGGTGCATTTGTGAAATTTGAAATGGACAAGTTGCCTGTTTTGTGTGCCTTCACAGTGAATTCTTCCCCCGAGATTGCTTTTGTCCTTGGTTCTTTGCAATGTACCAGACAAAAAAAAAAAAGGAAGCCATGTGTAAACTGGCCCTCATCAGCGGAGGGGGAAAGAGCACTCTGGCACAAAGAGGCAGTCCAAACGCAGCCACACGAATAATAGTCACTCTGTTTTATATTGTACATACAGATATACGCACACAATATCATTTAAGTTACCGGTTGAAGATTGGGGTTATAGGTCATGATAAAGATGTAGATGAGGTATTATGCATTTTCAGAGAGTAATAATTGGTCATTGTAGCCCCTGACCTGCTAAGCTCTGTTTAATAAATAAAATAATTTCCTTCTTAATGGCTACTTGTAAATCTGCCATTGATGGACCTTAATATTTAAGACAGGAAAAGCCATAAGACGTGAGGAAGAAAGCATACAACACTCTTTTTGGGCCACTTTCAAGTGTATGTGCCAACCTTTTTCGTCATTCTTATTGGGTTGCAGTTGTGATTGAGTCGGTAATGTAGCCGAGTGCTGCCTATGCCAATTCGCCGCCTTCCTGTTTCCTTCCCCAGCAATTGTGTTTGATACACACTGACACAATTCTTCCCAAGTGTACACAGCCTAACACGACCTCATAAATAGAGACACACTCGAGACGCGCTCTCCAGAGCCGCATTCTCCACGAGGCGGTGTAGGCGGTGTTGCTGGCTGAACTGTTGTCAGTAAGTGTGATGGATGGGCTGTCATGCAGAGTGGGGAGTGAATGATGTGAATCGTAAGGAGAACATAGGGTCCAAACACTACAGAGGTTCTCCAATACCTTTACCCCAAAAAAAGAGACCAAGATGAAACCCATCCAATTGGACCTTCACAATATGGCTGTTTTGGTGGACAGTTACTCTACTTGTCCAAGTCTTGAAATGTTTGCTCTGTTCCAAATCCTATTGAGCTGCCTTGCTGTCTACTGCCTATATATGTAGCTGGCTCTAAGGTTAGCATCCTAATAGAGTGCAATTGTGGCCGTCCACATTCGGTGGCCTTGGTTCCTGAACTATTTTTCCCATAGATAGATTTCATTCAAGCATTATAAGCCATGAACCACACCAACCAGTTACGAGAAGAATCACAATGTTAAAAACTTTGATTTGAAGCAAAATTATATTTGAAAATCAGACAATAAAACAAAGGTACAAGACAACTTTAATGAGGGAAAGAACTACAATTCTATGAAGCTTTGTGACTAGATCATTTATTTTGTGTTTTTGTGCTTCATGGGAGTGGGGGCGGGAACTAAAGAGTTATTTTGGTGCAATTTGCTTGTTGCAGTTCTCTGATTGGTGAAGATTTCTTTGCAGAATCATGGGTAACAACATTTTTTAAAATAAGTTGAAATAATGCAAGCCAGTGGCTTCAACAAAAGCATATACTGTCGATGATCAAACTCATAGCTCACAGTAGATCTGTAGGGTGTGTAACTGTCAAATTTTGGAAATTTGGAGAAAAAAGTTTAGGAAATTTACTTCTGGAGCCCAAATGTTGCACTCTATTGAAATGGAACCTCACAAGACTGGTGTGGAACACTACAGAGGACAAAAGTAATTTAGTGTGTTTTGATTTCAATATAGCGTGGCGTTAACATGTTGCTAAGCTAACAACACACTCTAGTTATGGTTTTTGGCTCTTTGTCCTCCATCTTGGATGGAATTTTTTCCATTTGAAATGCATCAGGTGATTGTAATTTACAAAATGCTGCCTTGATATCTACTGCCTACAGATGAAGAGCCCCCAAAGGCAGCATCCGAACTGACTTATCCTAACTTAGAATGTACCGTTCAATTAGGAACATGCTAATGCCAAACTCTAAAATTAAAGGTTGAGGATTTTGATTTCAATACAGTTGCAAAGCAGAGTTTCAGATTAGTACTGTAATAAGCATAAAAATGCATAATACACAAATATTGACTCAAATAGTCTGTTTTAATTATATCTAACCATTTTTTTGTTTTTAATGAATTTTATTAATCAACATTGCCATTTTGGATTTTTATTTTTATTTTTTTAGCTTAGTGCAATGCATCATGCGATTGCATTATCAGGATCCAGGTGATGCTGGCCATCGGAAGGTATCTCAGAATCTTTTGGAACAGCCTTAAATGTTGTAAAATGCCGCATACACCAGCTCTGTAGGTTTTGGAACAGAACCGTTGTTATATGTTTATTTTGGTCCCTTTTTTATTTTAGGACATTACAGCACCAAACTAGCCAAGATCGGACCACTTTATTACAAGGGAAGCTGATTAAAAGCTTGCCTTCCAGCAGTTCTGTTCTCACATTCAGGCACTCAAGGTGATTTTTATTCCTTTATGAGCCCTCCCCAGCATCTTCCAGCAAGAAGAACCGGTCTCTTTCCTCAGACAATTAATCTCTAGTGGCTTTTATTTCAACACTGTTAAAGAGCCGGTATGGTGTTTAGAAATCATCAGTGTATGTACACTCTTCCACAGAGCCGCCAAAGCATCTGAAGCTGTGCTCACGTTGCATGAGGACATTCAGTTTTGAATGGGAGCTCAATCCAGAGAGTGAGTTAAGGTCCATCTGCGATGTATTTTTGAGATAACACTCTATTTAAAAGATGTACTTGACTGTGTATGTAGCCTCTAACCGATCATTGTTACCCAACATGGTTGTTATTAAAATAATGTCGGATGTCTAAAAAGTCTCCTTCGACTCCTCTTAGAAACTGTAGCAGTATGTGTTACTTCGAGGGGTGTAAAAAGGGAATTATTTTCCATTGGACAAGCAAAGGAATTGCATGTTATGGCCTAAAGGTCAGATATTGGGAATGCTTTGCTTCAGTGTTCATACCTGTATTCGGCTGAATATGTAAGTGTAAATATGACCAACATCCAACCAACATTTACTGTGCTTTCCTCTGTTATCTTGAGGGTTTTTTGTTGTTCTTGTTTTGTTTGTGAATGTGGGAACTCGGGCCTGTATTTGCCCGAGACTCCTCGTCTAGTGAGACTGAAGGGAAAATACTTCATTTCTCTTTGCTGTTGCACACATTTTGAGTTTTGTAAACCAGTTTGTTCATTTTGAAGAAGATCCATTCTTGTAAATATGTCCCTCTACAAGTAAAAAAATGTATATTTTTACGGACTCTGAGTTATTAATACTTCATTTGCAAATAAAATATTCAACAACAAGCTATTTGGCAGCCCATTATTTGATTAGTCCAAAGCAAAATCGCATGCATTTGTGTATACGAATGTTTGTAGAGAGAAAAAAAAAATCACCTTTATCATGAGCAATGTGGAAATGATGCTGAAAACAAAAGAGGCATAATTCAAATATTATTCAAAAATATTATAATTTGATTTGTGCTATTATGTAGACACAGTGAAATGAGTGAAACAAGTGATATCATTAGACAACGATAATGTTCCCACACTCCAGTTTCATGCATCCTTGATTCAGACATTTGCAATGTTGTCTTGACTTTTTTTCAACACAAAATATTATAAACAGTATATTTACAGCAAAGCCAGCATATAAAACAACTGACAAATTCAATTACACATTCATCAGTCTCTTAGTAGAATCATATTAAATTAGACAGGTTGCATGACATGCCCAATACAATATTTCTTGTACTACATAAAATTTACCAGGGATAAAAGACATGATAGAAAATAATAATAATCTAAATAGATAGCTGAGCAACTGCTACATTGTGTCAGAGAATATTACCATGTAAAAATGCATTGCATCTATTAATATTGTACACATGGAGCCTCTGAAACCCCCACAATGCTTTGGACATTTAAACTGAATTTTTGTCTTTAGTACATTCTCACAAGAGCAGCAAATGTCATTTCAACTTTATGCAATGTTAAATATATACTGTATGTATTGTATTTTTCAAACTGCTAAAATGACTCTCATGCTCCAAAGAAAACATGATAGAAAGACATACAGCTGCACTCTGGTCTGTTAGGTGCTCACTCAGATGCACATTTGTAGTCAAACTCTGCTCCCTAGTGTTTGAGTGTCAGCGTGAGTCCACATTTACACACTGCAGGCTATTTTCAGACCGTTTGGACTAAAAATAGATTTTTCAACCAATATGCCAAACAATAAATAAACCACCGGATATGTAAGACTGATAAGACCAATTTAGACCATTTAATAAATCAGGCTATTGTGGTGGCTGACTGACTTGTGTAAGTGAGCTGAATTCAATTATAATTCTAATATTTCCCCAGTTCTGTGGGATCATATATATATATATATATATATATATATATATATATATATATATATATATATATATATATATATATATATATATATAGCAGGCTATGAGTACTGATGAACAATAGTCAGAAACATTATTATTTTACAATATGAAGGGGCATTACATGCTCTGTTGGGAAGAAACAGCAAAGCTCCTCTCAGCTCATCTTTCCTAGGACAGAGAAAAATCATTAAACTTCCAAAAAAAAAAAAAATGCTGTCTCATCTAAACCAGGGTTATTACAGTTAAATGAAAATAAAATAATTTAAAAAATGTATATGTTAAATGTGAATTATTTCACCAAAATAAAAGCGATCATACAAAACGCATGTTTTTTTTTTTTTAGTCCTGACTTGAATAAAATATTTCACATAAAAGACAATAATAATAATAATAGTCCACAAGGGAAAATAATAGTTGAATTTATAAAAATGACCCTGTTCAAAACTTAATACTGTGTTGTTACCTGGACCACAGACGTTTTTTTTGTTAGTTTTTTTTTAAACTTTATTTGTCCTGAACAGTTAAAGTGCCCGCTGTTCATCAGAAAAATCCTTCAGGTCCCACAAATTCTTTGGTTTTCCAGCATCTTTTGCATATTTTAACCCTTTCCAAAAATGACTGTATGATTTTGAGATCCATCTTTTCACGATGAAGACAACTGAGGGACTCATACGCAACTATTACAAAAGGTTCAAACGCTCACTGATGCTCCAGAACCAAAAACAATGCATTAAGAGCCAGGGGTGAAAACTTTTGAACAGAATGAAGATG